AAAATGTATGTGTAATATCACTAGCAGTGGAGTATGATTTGCAATGGCATGGTCAAGGTCGGCTTTCCTCAACATTCCTACCCCATAGGAACCCATGAAATAATTTTCAGGTCTCAGGGAACCCTTGCTAAGATTATTCAATCAGGAGTCATTGGCAAAATTCCCCTTACATTGGTGGTGGTCAGAGGGTAAAATGCCTGTCCTGCCATATGGCTATAGACCTGGAAATATGCAGGCACCATGGGATGCATAGTCAGTTAGCCAAAGCCATCTCTGGAAGAACCCCAGAGCTCCACAGAACCCTGGTTGATATTGGCTGGTCTAGATGTTTAAATGTAAACAAATGGCAAATATGGAAGATATTTTTGTACAATTAAAGGAACATTTTGAGAATGATATAGAAACAGCATAGCCTACCTCACTAACATCTTAAATATACAAAGCTGAGCTATATTCCTGGCAGGTCCTAACTTATCTCCTGCCTAGACTTGAATGGGATGTTCCAGCAATATGGGTATATCCCATTCCAAGTCTGTGGAACATTAGCACACAGGTGCTGGCACCCGGTACTGTAGACATTACGAAAAGACACCACCATTTAAGGAGGTAAGTAGGCATCTGCGGGTAGGATATCTCAGCTTAGTGTAATTAGGGGGCTAGGAAGAGGGGCTGGACTTTTTATAGTATTCCTGAATGTGTCCTTTAATCTTTAATTTTATGCCCACCCTGAGATGTGTTTTGGTTTGAGTTAGGAAGGGTTGTGACCTCTGTCAGGTTTTTTTTATTTTTTTTGTTGGGGAGACAAATGGCAATCAAAACTGACAGAAGTATTTGCCCTTACCCATCCTACATAAAAATAAAAATGTTTGTTATTGTCTGTGCCCCTATTGGAGAGATTTTGCTGGGGAGTACGTGTTCCAGGGAGGTTTCCCTGCCTGGGCAAAGTACAAGTTTGTTTTAATAAGTGTTTATGGACATTGGAAATTATAGGAGTACCCCGACTCTGGCTGTGATATGCAGTGGACAATTGTAGATTGACCTCAGAGCCCTCTGATCTGAATGCACTTAGAAAGTGCACCATACCCACAAGATATAATAGAAGTCTATGGCAAAGCACAGCTAACCCACAGGAAAGCCGTGGGTGCAAAGTGCTGTACCCACTGTGCAATTAAACCATAGTACATCAGTGTGAAAGAAGCCTTATAGGGGGCTCAGGACAGTAAGAGCTCTTTTACATTTGCGGTTTGGGGGATAGTAAAACCCCATAGTTGAGACGTGTTTTTACCACACACCCCAACCACGGCTGTAGCATCAGGGGTCACAATAGTAACCCCTCCCCATGCTCCAGGTGGCCTGTGTGGTTTTCTTCTTTCATTCTGTTTTACACTTGGATAGAAGTGTCAGGGACGGCATATACAGGACCCAATCCTCTCCATTTTCCTCCTGCAACCGCTGAAGGCCAACTTCTCCCCCTCTCCGTCCCACCAGCATGCAGGAAGAAAATGTTCATTATGCTATTCAAAAAAAAAAAAACCTTTAAATTATGATCCAATTTTATTGTGGCTCACAACTGGTTACCAATTCACTTAAGTGGCTCTCGCTTTTCAGAGGGTTGAGCACCCCTGACATAAATGAATGGAACATGTAGGCCCACATCTGCTGCAAGGGCAGGGTTTTAATATTTCTTACTTGTGCATATTTTTGTATTGTATTGTGATATTTTCTGTCCTAGTGATCATTGCTTGGCAGCTGCATAGTCAATCTTTGTTTTTCTTTGGGGGTTATTTAAAGAAATAAAAATCATAATGTGAGAAGCGTTCCACTAATCAGGATGTCTCTTTCAGTATTATGACTTCATTAAACGGAGATTTGACTGATTGTTCTGGGGCACTGCGTTCCTCCTCGTTGTCTTTGCCTTAGGCAAGCCTGTGTATTTCGGGAATAACAGAGTGACAGTTATTTGCTGTTGTGTTACCAGAGTACCGACAAGGTAAATACAAGAATGGTATGCAGACCACTACAGAGAAGGATTATGACCAGATGATATTTGCTGAAGAAAAAGTAAAGATTTGTTTGGCAGTAACAGATCTTTTCCCATTTCTACATGGACTGCAAGATTTGACAATTTTATCTGAAACAGAATCCCTGGTGAGTTTATATATTTTGCTGAGGAAAAAAAATGATCATTTTGTTTTCTTTATTCATATACTTCTTATAACTTCTCGCAGTTAAAGAGACTGTCACTGTTCTGGATGACTACTGGCAGGGCAAACTGACAAAGAATCCTAAACCCAAGAACAAAAATTAATGCCTAATAAAATACCTAGTGAGCTGTATAGAAGAATATCTTCCTTCCTAGCTATCTTCTGTAAACTACCAGTTGCCCTGCCACCCCCATAAAATGGGTGAACAGATAAGGAGATGTTTGTAGACAATATCAGGTGAGCAGCCTAATGTGGCAACCATGGATTCCTCCATAGATACGTGGGAGGAGTAAGGTAGCCACCCAGGGACAGGAAGTGTGTTAAAGGATTAGAATGTTTTCTAAAGGTGTGAAAATAAAGCAAAAGAAGCTTGAAAAAGAAAATAAATGCAGCCACCACACCAAGGACATGTAAGCTGCAATATATGACATTATTTGGTTTTGGGTTTGATGCACTTTGACCTACCCATCAACCCACTAATTCTCCCTTTTTCCTGCACTCTCCCGCTACTCCATTCATCTGGGAATCACACCCAGTTGGTGCTCCATGCAGATGCTGTCAGTACTTACCAGGGTTGATGATATTGAGGTGTTGAATGTGACAGTGTTCAGGTCAGGCAAGTGGCTACTTGGGCTTGAGCACTGCGTTTTGGGAGGAGATCACATACTCTCCCATACCCAGGACGTATCAGGGATTTACAACAAAGTTCACTGAAGCACAGGGTAAGTGAGTATAGGTGGGCCAGTGGGTGGGCTAGCAAGAGACTTATTTTAACTGATTAGAGTCTCTATATTGGAAACCTGAACAGAGCAAACATGTATAATGCTATTGCTGACCTTTGCTACCTTGAAACGCAAAATGAAGTAAAAGCAAGAAAAGTCTTGCACACCAGGTCCTCAGGTATAGCTTTCTCTCCAGCAGAGAGGACAGTGAGCAGCACAACAGTGGCATAACCAAATTTCATTCCAAAACTTATGGGCAGCTGGAGATAGCAATGTCTTAGACGATCTCACACTGCAGATATACAGCCATTGATTTCAAGGCACAGAGTGTGCACTACTATTTTTCAAGAAAAATTCAAGATATAAGGTACTGCTTTGGCAAAACTAATTATTTTGAATGTTCCCCATGTAGCCGTACCCCGGTAGGAGCCACAGTATTAAAAGTCCCTTAGGATTTTTCCCATAGTTGCCCCACAGCCAAGCACACAGTCACTGTTTTGGCTCAAAGAACAGTCTAAGGGTATGCTTTTCTGATGCATAATTGTAGAACTTGAACCTGGATAGGAGCAGCATGAAGTTAGGATAATCCAGTAACTCTTCGTATCAATTTGAGGAAATCCTTGCACAAATATGTAGTGGACTGAGTTTGTTTGTAGCAGCTTGATGATATTAATCTTCATTCTACAGATATGAGCGGAGTCCTTGCACTGGGAATTAATGGACGGAGCTCTTCAGGACACTCAACACAATGTCCCCTTTGAATGCAGTTGACTCTATAGCACCAGAGGGATGTCAACAGCTCACAGTCTCAAGGATCTCACCACACCAGCTTGTACGCATTAATGTTTCTGGATAATTGGATACTTCCAATATCTTCCAGACACTTACTCCCAGTGATACCAGACTGGATCCTCAGACATAAAAGCCCCTCAGTCAGCTCCAGCAACTTTCAGAAAAATAAGCCCCCCCCAGCTAGCCCAGCTGGGACCTTGATGAACCCCAGGCACATGACTTGCTTGCCTAAGGGGCAAACAGCTCCTCAGGGACAAGACACATCTGTTCCAGGTCTCAGAGTATTTATACATACTCCCAGCCACCATCTGAGCAGCTCTCCCAAGCGATTGGCCAGGGCTCCATAAATATTCAGCTGTTAATTTGACTTTCCCAGCTCTCTATCTTCCAGAACATGTCCAGCCAGACAGAAGGAAACAGTCAGCTCTGCAGCCAGTGAAACACAGAAGAGACCTAACTAATCACTTGCAGCTGCACTGATTACAGTGAGCCAGATCTAAATTTACCTAACCTAGCATCTATTTAGGAGGTTATGCTTATGGTCAGGTACACTTTAAGTGTAGAATTTCAGATTCTTATAAATGCCTTCTCCTGACTGGTTCTCTTTAAGGTAAATTGAGTGATTGTTCTGGCAGTTGCAATATTTAGTACATTGCATTAGTGACTCACAGATTGTGTTAATTGTAACTTGTATAAAATGGATTTGTGCAATTCAGTAGAAAATAATATGCATGAGACTAGGTGTTATCAACTTGACAAGCTATGTAATTTTACAGAGAAACTTCAAGCAGATGGAAGGCCAGTTTCTCGAGTAATATATGAATGTCTTTCGCTGATTGAGAAAAAAGACTTGAAATTAAGTGTTGTCTTTGAGTACATATTCCAGGAGTGCTATCAGACCCTTTATCCAGACCTACAGGCCATTTTACAAGGTAATTTCTCTTTCCTTCTGTCAATGAGTTTCTTTAAGATAATTAAAAAGAATAAAGTAGCTTGGCAAAGTTATTGTAGATATAAAACTCATAATTGTACATTGTCGAAACATGCAATAAAACAGTTATATATTTGCTTTATCATCAAATGTTCTACTTCTAAACATGCTTACATATTCACCTGGGTTTGCTACACAGAGTCCAATGTGGAGCAAGATGGACTATTCAATGGGAAACAACACGTTGAGTTCAACAAACCAGGAGGTCTTCTGGAGTTTTATGAACACAACAAATCTGACATCTGTGCTGCTATTGATGAATGTTTCCCCTTTTTAAATGGACTACAGGATATGGGACTCTTGTCTAAGTTAGAGCTACTGGTAAGCTAAGGGTTAAGCATTTTAGGGAAAGAATATTTAATGAGACAATGATATTGGCAAAAATGATTTAGTACTTGTTCTCAAAAGCGTGTTCGGGTTATTTTGAAAGTTGAAGGCATTACTTGGAATGAATGAGGCCCACATTTACAGGGGACTGGCAATGGGTTTTCATACTTTGGGGGTGCTTGAATCAAAGTTAAACACAAAATGTGGGTCTTTGTAAATATTCATCGTTCCTATAAAACTGTAACCTAAAATAAAATGTTAAAACTAAAAGTCTGTTATGTTGAATTCTTTACATGATCCTTTTATTTGACAGAAGCTCCAGGCCGACAAGAGAATGGCTAAGGATGTGTTGTATGACGCTCTGAGCTTGATTCAGGAGAGAAGGCGAATAGAAGTCTTCTTTGATTATGTGTTTCGGGAATTCAACCTCAACCGCTTCCCTGCTCTCAAGACCATCTTATTCAGTAGGTCATAGTAAAGACATTGGGATCTAAAATAAATTGACAGGTGCCACTCAAGGCTCCACTGGGTCCCTTTATGTAGCAACCGCTTGGAGTGCATACAAGGACAGAGCTCATCCCAGCTCTAGACAGCTAATGGAAAAGGGAGAAGTCCTGGAAGTTGCACATCTCTGCAAAACCCCATAAGAAGGTGTATGACAGCCTTAGCCCAGGCTTTGACCAGGCCTCACCCCAACACATTTCACTCCTCCCATGGAGATTAGTTATAAGCTCCATAGGGGGAGTGAAATGTGTTGGGGGCATGGTCTGGTTGGAGCCTGGGTTGAGGGTGTCATACACCTTCTTATCGGGTTTTGCAGAGATGCGCGACTTCCAGGAGTTCTCCCTTTTCCATAAGATGGTAAAAACATTGCTGGGGATCACGCTAGAAGAGCTATGGACCCAATATACAGTAAAATATACTTCTTACATGGTAAAATAATTGATTACAAGAAAATAACACACAGTATTCTCTCTTCTTTCTACAGATATGGATGACATTATGATGCAGGAAACCAGAAAATGCAGGTTAAAGCCCATATGCTACACTGAACTGTCAGATCATGACTGGGAATTTATTGGTGATGGGAAAAAACATGCAGGTTTGTAAAATGTCATTATAATTATAATAGGAACAATAGGACTTAGATAACTCATTATCAGAAATGTAAAAAGCTACAACGTCCACTATCACAGTTCTTGATTTATTTTGTGTCACCCATGTCATATATAAATGACGAGGCTCCACTTTCTGTCTGCAGCTAATTCCCTGTGGAGTCTCAATCAACACATGCTTGTATTCTCCCTGAACTCTGAGGGTGCCTAAACGTTTCCCTTCCCCAGAGAATAAAAAAAGCTGACATTGACCTGCTGCTGACTTATTACTCCAGCCAGACATTTGCATTTTTAATAACATATCTCTATTTTGCAAGTGTAAGATGCTACAGATGATAATTCTAGTTTTTAAAGCCCAACTCTAGCCATAGCTTTCTATTATATTCTAGATACAGCAGGGTAAGGGTAGAACCTCTGTCAGGTACTATTGTTGTCTATGTGCCTGTTAAAGAGATTTCCCTTCAATTTCTGTTAGGACAGGAAACCTCTCTTATGACAAAAAAGATGAATTCATGGTACTGCTGACTACCAATATACTGTTTTCTTCACACGTACTTATTATGGCATGTTATTTACCTTGTAAATGTATATTTACATTCCGCATCATCCAAATCTGCTTCATCCTCTATTGGAAAAGGTGTAAAGTCCTCACTCCTGCAGAAACTGGAAAAAGTGCAACACCAGGAATACACAGTCCACATCTCTAAAGATGGCAACAGGAATATTACAAGGAAACATATCAAAGGTTTGTACATGTAATATGTAATGTCATGTAACCCTTGTTTCAGAAACAGTACAGTATAAGACAACAGAAAGTGCACTAACATCATGTAACAGCCTCACCTGGCTCTATGATAAAGAGGATCCACCCTTGAAATGTGTCTGTCAGGAACCTAAGGCCAGCCATACTCATTGTCATGTGCATAGATGTACTCATAGATGTATAATTGGACGAGGGAGAACACACGTGAACGCACAATCGACACATACTGTACGTGCAGGCACAGGTGTGCCTACTAATTCTGCTGCCCAATTCTGCTGCCCAGCAGCCTATATAAACCTGCCTAGTATCATTGCTGGATGATCTTCAGCTTTACATTATGACATATGTTCCTGAAAGCCTGTATGACCCTGTTACTTACCTGGCTCTGTCTGACTTTTCTTTGGATTCCCCTTGTCTGCTTATGCCTGCTCTGCTACTGATTTATGTTGCTGACCCTGGCCTGGATTTTGTGACTGCCTGCTGATTTTATACCTTGCTGCCAGCACGTTGCCACTTCTTCTGCACCTATCTACATGGCTGTTAGCGAACTCGGCTTGTGACCTGACTCCTTTCTTCTGCTCATCACCTTAGCATCTCCAAGTCCAAGTTTTCTGCATCAACATAACCATGTTAATTCCTCTCCTGCATCAATTACTAATGCTACCACACCCCAACCTGTAGCATGTTGACCACTGTCCATGTATCTTCCCTTGTCAACATCACACCGCCTACCCCTTCCTCCTAACACTATGGTTCACAGAGACGGTTTTGTCACTAGGTCACATATGCCTTGCCCTGGGGTGCCCATTGCTGTTGCGTTACTGTGGGGGTTACTGTTCAGTAAAACTGGAGAGTGCAAAATCTGGTGCAACTCTGCATAGAAACCAATCACTTTCCAGGTTTTATTGTTACAGCTTAAAGTGGTAGTAAAGTCTGAAGCTTGTTTTACCTTTATGCATTCTATGCATGAAGGTAAAAAATCTTCTATGTGGAGCTTTCCCCCACCAGCCCCCTCTAATACTCACCTGAGCTCCATCTTGGTCCAGCGATGTGCAGGAGAGCAGCGGCTCCTCCGAGTCTCTGCCTCCTCACTGGCTCAGGCTGGGCTAAGTCACGCTCTGTGTCTTATGGACACAGAGAGTGGGGCTCCAGAATAAGCATGTACCAGTGCCCCCATAGCAAGAGCCTTGCTATGGGAGCACTGCTCAAGGGGAGGATCCAGAAGCGTTGAATGGGAACACGCAAAGAAGAGAATTGCTGCTGCTCTGTGCAAAACCATTGCATAGAGCAGGTAAGTATAATAAGTTTGGTATTTAAAAAAAATAAAAAAACAACTGTGATACCACTTTGACTGAACAAGTTTAAGGTAGAAGCTGATAGCCTACTATGTACAGCTGCACAAGATTTTGAATGCTCCAGTTTTAGTAAATCAAACCTTAAGTGTCTTACAGCCTGACAGGGCTGTTCTGAGTGGTGCAGAGTGGCAAAGGATTTCTCCTTTTACAGCCCCTAGGCCCATGAAGAAACTTGCAGCTCCTTTTATTGCTTTCCCAGCCCAGCTCAGCCCTAGAGCTGCCCAACGCCCTGAGTATGTATATCAGGAGGGATAGGGGAAACACAAGGTATGTATAAATCTAGCACTGATTGTTCTACCACACCTAAGTTAGCATTGGAATACCTTCCAGAGGTCCTCATGTGTAGCACAGTGGCTAAATGGTTAGCACTTCCGCCTGGCAGTACAAGGGTCATTGGTTTGAATCCCAACCATGGCACCACCTACCTGGAGTTTGCCTGCTACCACGGCACCACCTTCCCTGTGCCTGAATGGGTTTCTTCTGGGTACTCCAGTGTCCTCCCACACTCCAAAGACATGCTGGTAGGTTAATTGGATCCTGTCTAAACTGGCCCTAGTATGTGTATGTATGAATGTGAGTTAGAGATCTTAGATTGTACGCCCCTTGAGGGTTAGGGACTGATGTGAATGTACAATATATGTATAGGGCTGCATAAATTGATGGCGCTATATAAGTACTTGAAATAAATAATGTGGAGGTTGCACAAGTCCTAGAGGAGGCCAGCATTTGAGAAGTAGTGTCATGTAACTTGAGCTAAGCATAGTCTAGCACAGCAATGGGCAAACTACGGCCCGCGGGCCGTATACGGCCCGGCGGACCTTTTAATCCAGCCCGCGGAGCTAGGCTCCCGCTAGGCCCGCTAGGCTCCTCTCACAGTCCGCCCTGAAGACCGGTGTAGCATGAAAATCTGTCTCCTATGAGGATCTGTCTCCCTCGACGTATCTGCGCATGTGCCGGAGATCGCCGATCGGCTACTAATGCCTGAAACTGGCACATGCGCAGATACGTCGAGGGGGACAGATCCTCATAGGAGACAGATTTTCATGCTACACCGGAACGGCGCGGGAACACAGCGAGAGGAACGCGCGGAGCAAAGGTAAGTGAATTCACACAGGGGGGACTTGGGGACTTAATATGGGGGATGAATTAATATGGGGAATGAATTACTATAGGGGGGATGAATTACTATAGGGGGGATGAATTACTATGGGGGATGAATTACTATATGGGGGATGAATTACTATATGGGGGATGAATTACTATGGGGGATGAATTACTATATGGGGGATTAATTACTATGGGGGATGAATTACTATGGGGGATGAATTACTATATGGGGGATGAATTACTATATGGGGGATGAATTACTAAGGGGGATGAATTACTATGGGGGGTGAATTACTATGGGGAATGAATTACTATATGGGGGATTAATTACTATATGGGGGATGAATTACTATGGGGGATGAATTACTATATGGGGGATGAATTACTATATGGGGGATGAATTACTATATGGGGAGGAATTACTATGGGGGATGAATTACTATATGGGGGATGAATTACTATGGGGGATGAATTACTATATGGGGGATGAATTACTATGGGGGATGAATTACTATGGGGGATGACTTACTATATGGGGGATTAATTACTATGCTTACTATGGGGGAATATTACTATACTTACTATGGATGACACATACACATCATTCATCTACTCTTGGTCCGGCCCCCGGGGTCCAATATATGAACCCATTGCGGCCCTCAAGTCAAAAAGTTTGCCCACCCCTGGTCTAGCAGCTTACATGTAAGCATTTCCTGTTTCCCACAAAGTAACATGTCCTGGTATGATGGGCAGATATCATGCCTACCCCTTTTGTAGTAGCAAGAAAGAATGCTGTTGAAGACATCAAAGCATAGAATGCTGCAGGTATGGATGGTGGTGTGCAGTTCTGTGGCAGTCAAAGGTTCCATTCCCAGGAGAAGCAGGACATTTTCCTCCTGAGTTTCGGCCTAGCAACACCATGGAGCACAGAGCTATTATTTTAAGATGCATGTTTATCCATGCTAAAAGGATGGAGGAGAAGGGTTGAGGGATATTTAAAGCTTATATTAAAACAGAACCTATAATAATATTGTAGCACTACCCCCTTAGGAGTTGCTAGAAGTTTTGTGTCCCCCTATAGTCCTGGACAGCCAGGCATCATACATTTTCACAAAGAGCTTTTCAGAAATCAGTCCTTCAGCTTTTGTTTTGTTGTTTTATTTAGGGGATTTGAACTGGGATAGGGTTAGGGGTGTACAGGATGCCAAAGGATACTGACAAACTAAGGACAACTTCCTGGAACTATTTACATCTCCTTAGTGTACCACCGCAGACCCTAGATGAACTTCTCCTCTTTATCCAGAAATCTGGAGGTATCCCTAAGCAGGGTGTCCGTTTCCTGTCACCTTAAGAGGTAAACAGTCACTGATAGGTGACTAATCTGGTTTTAAACCAGAGTGCTCCTTCCCCTATCCACCCAGGGGGTGTAGGTATACTCACTCAGATCCTCTCCTGTACCGTTTGTGGGTTGGTGACCGCTACCAGGCCTATCAGTTGGGCTGCTCCTTCCCTACCATACAGGTGGTCCTCTCTCAGGGGGCGGTGAGCTCTGAGCTTTTCTCCTTTCCAGCTCCAGGCCTGCAGGTAGGCCTCATCCCACTGGGCCTCTTCGCAGCCTCCTTCCTTCAACCTCAGATCTTCCTCTCTCTATCTTCCACCTAAACTCTCTTCCAAGCTCTCCTCCAACTGAGCAGGCTCCAACACTTTTGAGGGCGTCTAGCCCCTTGCCAACCTCTTGTTGGGAATTGGCTAGGATCCCTCATAAGTGCAACCAGCCTCTCCTCAGATCCACCAACTCCCTCTAGAGCCTTCCTCCAAAAGCTCCAGAGCAGGGGGAAATTCCAGAGGGGCTGGCCTGCAGAGCCTCTCAGCCCTGACCACAATTTGACCTTCTGACTACACTCAGCCTTCCTCACTGACAATCAAGAGTCTAGCTCCCCCTAGCTTAACTAGGAGGGTGCTGAAATATGAATATAGATGTATTGTGTTGGAGGGACATAGACTTGCAGACACGTATTAACATTTGTAGACTTTGACACAGAATAGGACACATACCCAAGTAAAATTATGCTGTATTGATACTATGAAAATTAAGGCCTACATCAAAACCCCTTACAAGGACAATTTGATCAAAGTACCTGGGAGCAAAAGAAACAATGTGCATGGCCTACTTGTATAAGTGTAATGTAGAGAGGGGGGAGGGGAGTGTTATGAACATACCAATATATTTACTTGATTTTTTTAATTTCGTGTCCTTATATAGCACTATTAAAGCACTATATAGCATTATTTAAGCAATAAAAATGACCATTGTTATTCCATATCCTACTTTAATACAGATGCTAAGAATGTTAAAGTCAGACTGGAGTATCCCAAACAAATCTTCAATGATGAATTTCCTGTGAGATGTGGTGACAAGAAGGGGACCTTCATGAGAGAACACTGGGATGGAGGTAAATGTTTTAGAATGGTGTTCTCTCTGGTGTAATAACTACTCCTTTATATAGCACTTACAGGAGCCGCTGTTGATTAGGATCTTTGGTCCCAGATTCTCGACCTTCCCAGCAATGCCAAACCCTCTGACACACCAAGGCTGGGAAGGAATATTTATTGCAACAATAATTCAGAAAACAATGAATGGAAAATGGCAATAAACACTTCAAGTATGTGAAACCATTGTAAATGAATGTATAAAATTGCTATTAAACAAGCAGACCATTAAATGACCCCTAATCCCTATGGAAGGTCCTGTCTAGAGGGCAAAGCTATGACAATGGTCCAGCTATCTTTTTTAAATCCTTCCCTGCTGGCCAGCACATTGGGGCCCAAAGCTGTTGCTGGAGTCCCCAGATAAAGTTCCTTCATACCATAGCATAGGTACCTGGACTGTGTCCCAAGAAAACAATACTATTCCTCTTTAATAGGGTGTAGTGGGTTTTAGCTAGTGGCTTCTCACCCACTCTTGGGGATACAGGAACCAGTTTCCCTTGGGGGAGGAGGAGAAGCCAGTTGCACTTCAGGAGGAGACACATAAGGATCAGTTTCAACTATAAGCCCTCCTGTTCATCAGGTTCCTGGGCCTCCCTGAGAACTGATGGGGCTGTGCCACCATGCAGGCTTATCAATAGCCCTGATCAAGAGTAAATGTTCTGGAAACGCTTCATTATGTTTTTCTTTTCCAATCATTTTTATTAAGGACATAAAATATACAAGTATAAAGCAGTAAAGCAAAGTGCTGGTACATGATAGTGTTATTGACATACATCACTGATCACAAGGGTACTGCTGTAAAGGAATTTTGGGATGTGACTATATTCCCTGATAACAAAAAATTAAACATGATCCAAAGAGGAGCTGCATGACCAGGGATTGCTCTCAGCTAGGATGAGGGGTCGCCCCAGCCCTTGGTTGATCACAGTAGCTAGTTTTTGTGTTGGCATACACAGCCTTCAAATAGGGAGTAGGATCCATGACAACCAACCAGCGATCCAACATCTCTCCTCAAACTATCAAAAAGTTTATTAAGTTGAGAAAAGGGAAGAGGACAAAGTAGGAAAGAGGTAAGAGGTAAAAGAAGAAAAGAAAAAGAAACAGCGAGCCTCCCCTATAGCAATAAGAAGTTTGCCTCAAATTGGACGAGGCAGGCCCCATCAGGTAAGTGATCCAGGGGTCCCAGAATTTTTGAAATCGGGGCAGCTTGTCCTGCACATTGGCAACGAGGCATTTAGCATTATCCAGGACAATTTATTCTATAAGCGGTCACAAGTTAGCGCATGAGATTTCCAAAATCTTGCAATGGTTATTCTAGCTGCTGTAAAAATTAAAACTATGAGGTGTTGATGGGTCTCGGGGCTCCCACCACAGGGTGTAAGGGGGGGGAATGTCGTGTGGACTTAGTAAGATTAGTCCCTGTGAGGGAACAGATATAATTGTAGGTGTGGATCCAGAATCTGCGAACTTTTGGGCACACCCACTATACACGATACACAGTTCCCTCTTGGACGCACCCTCAAAAACACAGAGAGGAGGCTCCTGGAGCCAACTGGGCAATTCTAGCGGGGACCATGTACCATCTCATTAGTACTTTGCAATTGGCCTCTATTAGGGAAGTGTTTATAATAGATTTTGCAGCTCTTTGTGCCAGTCTATGCCACTCTGCAGGGTCTAAGACCTCCTGTGCCACTTCATTATGTTTTTAAATAACCTAAATACTTACCGATGCCCATTTTATTCATGATTTATTATTTGTTAAAACTCTAAATTGTTTTGATGATCTCACTGAAAGAAAAGCTAAATTTTCTCCCTTGAACTCATCAGAAGTATTAGCTGCACACATTCCCTGTGCATAGATCTGTTTATATCTGTAGAAAGACCTACAGGTCCAGAGAGATAAATAAGAATATATGTTGAAATGTGCACATTAAGGGGTCTAATCATTTTTTTTTTAAATACTATGCGAATGTCTTAAACTTTTGCACATCTGTCATGAATATTCTCTATAATTTGCCTAATGCATTTTTTTTCCCATGATCATCAGCTCCATCTAGTGTCCATAATGCAGAGTTTTCCTGATTGAGGTATTTCAGGAAAATACTTCATTATGGCCCTAGATAGAGCTTTCATAGGAAATAAGTCTATTAGGCAAATTATGAGGATTATTTGTGACAGCTGTATGAATGCTGGAGACTTTCTTTTATAAATAGATCCCTAAGTGACATGTAGCAGTGAATGGGTTTCTACTGGGTCTCAGCTAACACTGCCTAAAAATGTTCAGTACTATCCCAAATTCTACATTTTCTGGTACTTCCCAGTTATAGCATATCTATTTTTTTTTTAAATGACCGGAGTGTAGAGGTGTGCAATTAGTTTAGTTATGGATCAAAATTTGGACAACATTTTCATTATTCGGAGATTCGGATGTATCCGAATTTCCAAATCACAATAGTAACGAATTTCAATGCAGTAGAAATAAAGTATAAAAAAAAAAATTATCCGAATTTGAAAATGAATTTGAATTCAAAATGGAAACATATTGCAATAAATACAGTAAAGTATAAAAGTGAAATAAGATGATGATTCCTACTCAGGCTGTCTTATAAAATAGAATAAGAAAGATTAGAATAGAATATAATAGAATAGATTAGAATAGAATAAAACAGAACAGAATACAATAAAACAGAATAGATTAGAATACAAAAGAATATAAAGTAAAGGAATAGAAAAGAAAAGAATATAATGTAAAAGAATAAAATAGAGTAAAATAGACTAGAAAAGAATAGAGGATAAAAGAACAGAATAGAGTAGACAATAAAAAAATAGAACAAAAAATAGAGTGGAAGAAAATATGATAGAATAAAATATAATAAATATAGCCATCGTCCAAAATTCTAATTAGAATTTCGAATTCAAATTTAGTATTTGAATTTCAATTTTTGAATCAATTCGAAAATAACGAACATACAAAACGAATTTGAATATACAAAACAATATCAGGAAATGAATCAGTCTAACATAACGAATATGACTAAATGAATTTATTAACTTAACGAACGAATCTGAAACAAAACAAATTTTTCCATCCGTCATGCACATTTCTAGTGGGCTGGATAGTATGCTGCCGCATTGCCTTTAATACCGAAAATGACACTATACAATATCCTTACTCTCCAAAAATAATCCATACACATCTTTACTTAGTGGCCCTGTAATCTATTTCCCCCTCACTTCTGTTTGTTTGAAACAAGCAATGCGTGTTAGTTGTGGTCAAGTAGACTGCTCTATGCTCACTACACATCCCACAGGTCATCAGGAGGGAGCAAGAGAAGGTATCTACATTCCTACATACAGTGGGAACGTGGAGAACAAACAAAGCCAGGAAGTCAGTTTTAAGCAGCAGGAACAGAGAGTTTCTCTGTGCTGGCACTGCCCAATCAGAATTGATCTGATCCATCTTGGAAGATAAGCAGAAAAAAAAGGGAGAAAAGCGTCATTGTTATCTGTGTGTCTTCCTGTTTCCAATATGTAGAACCCAGTATTGACAAATGCATCAAATGCGACGGAAAAATGTTTACTGTGATCAAGTTTGAAAAATATGGAGGAAAAGAGTGCACCAAGAACTGGAAGAAAAGCATTTTCTATGGCAGGATCCCAATGGAAAAGCTATTCCAGGTATGGTGATATGCTAATAGAAACTCTACAAAATCCCCAATTCAGTGAAAACTACATTATTTACTTCTGCCTTCCTTTATTGTTAAAAACTACTTATTAGAGGCATTGTTGTAAACGGCATTAAAGCAAGATCCAGCAATGCAAAGGAAACTACAAGTTACAAACTGAAAGAGCTCTTAATCATAACAAGAGAATGAGTCCTGGATCAGTGTTTGTGAACAATACACATCATTTCTATATAGTTCACGGCTTCAAATATCACCTCTACGCCGATGACACGTAAATTTACCTCTCCACCCCTCGCCTCACCCCTTCAGTCTCCGCCCGTATCACCCACCTACTGAACGACATATCAGACTGGATGTCGCTCCATTTCCTCAAATTGAACTTTTCCAAAACCGAGCTCCTGATTTTCCTCCCAGCCCGTGCCCCCCACCCTCTCCATCGCGACCAACAACGCCACCATCAGTCCCACCCCGCAAGCCAAAGTCCTAGGTGTCACTCTAGACTCAAACCTGTCCTTCCAACCCCATGTCCAATCATTGGCAAACTCATGCAGGCTCCACCTCCACAACATCTCCAAAATACGTTTGTTCCTAACCCCAGACACTACTAAACAACTCGTTCACTCCCTTATTATCTCACGTCTGGACTACTGCAGCTCCCTTCTCACCGGCCTACCTCATCACAGACTATCCCCGCTTCAGTCTATCCTGAACTCAGCAGCCAGACTCATCCACCTTACCAACCACTCCGCATCTACCATCCCCCTCTGTCATTCCCTCCATTGGCTCCCAATTGCCCAACGCATAAAATTCAAACTACTAACACAGACATACAAAGTCATTCATAACGCTGCTCCAAACTACCTCAACGACCTGATACCCAAATACCACCCAACCCGTACTCTTCGCTCCTCACAAGACCTCCTACTTTCTAGCTCCATGGTCTCCTCCTCCCACGCCCAACTGCAGGACTTCCCCCATCCTCTGGAACTCACTACCCCAATCCATCAGACTGTCACCTACCCTCCTCACCTTTAGGTGCACCCTGAAAACCCATCTCTTCAGGGAAACCTACCCCGCCCTCACCTAACATCCGATCTCCTCCACTCCTCCTACCACTCCATCCCCCACAGCCACTTCCTCCTGTACCACTATCCTCTCCCTCCTTGATTGTAAGCTCGAAAGAGCAGGGCCCTTGAACACCTCATGTTTTGTTCTGTCACTGTATTGTCTCATGTTCTGTTACCCATTATAATGTACAGCGCTGAGCAAACCTTTTAGCGCTATATAAACACTGTATAATAAAAATAATATAACATCAGGACAACCTTTAGGGTGGGGGTTGACAACCCATCAACCACGAGCTACCTGTCGACCGCCAACAGGTGACAGATAGATTACAAAGTCATCCCCCTGTTGCCGACCTGGTCTTTTTCCCCGGAGCTCAAGAGCAGCCAATACGCATACTCACCCAATTCAATGCTGCAGAGGCAGTCCCTGCCCCTTACATGCGGCTCTTCCTCTGTTGTGTGCTCATATGCTCATAACCTCCGGCCCTCCTCCCCAATTCAAGTGATACCATGTAGGAGAGGTTTGGCGGCAGGGATCAGTGCCACTGCACCTTCCCTGCACCACTCTGCATTACAAAACAACGTCTGAGCCCTCCTAACACTCTAGCACTCCTGATGCCCCAGCACAATGCTCACCTGACCCCACAGTACCATTCCCTCCTGACCCCTAGCACCATGCCCTCCTGTCCCCCCAATGCCATGTCCTCTTGAAACCCCAGCCTTTTTGATACCCCCTGTATTGTTCCCTCCTAATCTCCCAGTACCGTGCTCTCCTAACCTCCAGTACTCTGCTCTGCTGACCCCCCAGTACCGTGCTCTCCTAACATCCAGTACTCTGCTCTGCTGACCCCCCCAGTACCGTGCTCTCCTAACCTCCAGTACTCTGCTCTGCTGACTCCCCAGTACTGTGCTCTCCGGACCCCCTGCAGTGCCCTTCTGAACCTTCGAACCATGCTCTATGGATCCCCCTGCACCATGCTCTCCTGTCCTACAAAACTACTGACCCCTGAACGCTGCCCTACATCATACTGACCTCTGTACCCTGCCCTACATATTTCTGGCCTTTGAACACTGCTCTACATCCTACTGACCTCTGTACACTGCTCTACATCCTACTGAACTCTGTACACTGCACTACATATTACTGACCTCTGTATAATTTCCTACATCCTACTGACATCTGTACAATTTCCTACATCCTACTGACCTCTGTACGCTGCCCTACACCCTACTGACCTCTGTGCACTGCCCTACATCCTACTGACCTCTGTACACTACCCTACACCCTACTGACCTCTGTACACTGCCCTACATACTACTGACCTCTGTACACTGCCCTACACCCTACTGACTTCTGTGCACTGCCCTACACCCTACTGACCTCTGTACACCGCCCTACATATTACTGGCCTTTGTACACTGCTCTACATCCTACTGACCTCTGTACCCTGCCCTACATATTACTGGTCTTTGAACACTGCTCTACATCCTACTGACCTCTGTACACTGCCTTACATATTACTGACCTCTGTACAATTTCCTACATACTACTGAACTGTGTGCACTGCCTTACACCCTACTGACCTCTGTACACTGCCCTACAAACTACTGATCCCTGTACACTACCCTACATCATACTGACCTCTGTGCACTGCCCTACATCCTACTGACCTCTGTGCACTGCCCTACACCCTACTGTCCTCTGTACACTGCCCTACATCCTACTGACCTCTGTACACTGCCCTACATCCTACTGACCCCTGCACACTGCCCTACATATTACTGACCTCTGTAAAATTTCCTACATCCTAATGACCTCTGTACACTGCTCTTTATCCTATTGACCTCTGTATGCTGCCCTACATACTACGTGTACTGGCCAGAAATCAGTGCAGATAGCCAGGCCTGAAACTAGTCAAGAATATCATCCTGCAGAACCAGATGTTCTGATTTCATAAGAAACTTTGGCATTAGACTTGTGGGGGTGACCAATTACTCCCCAGACATGAAAAAAATTGTGAATGAAAGTGAACACCGAGTTTCTCACTGAAGCTAACTTTTACAATAGGCTAAGTTTTTATATTTTTACAGTGACATTAGTTTTAGTAGATTTTTTTTTAGGTTTTCTTCATGCTGTGTTAACTTTTTATGGGGGGCTTGCTAGATAATTTCTTTTTAAATAGATCTTTGATTTCTTCAATGTTGTCCATACTCAAAGGTTGCCTACCCCTGCTTTAGGAGAACTCCATGAAGCAGGGCAGAAAATAAGCACAGGGCATAAATTACACCACTTAAAGGATTACAAAAAATGTAATTTTTTTTTTTTTCAAAAAATATTTTATTAATATAAGAATAGACAAGATAGCATATAGAGCAGTGGTTCTCAACCTTTCTAACACCGCGACCCATAATACAGTTCCTCATGTTGTGGTGACCCCCAACCATAAAATTATTTTCGTTGCTACTTCATAACTGTAATTTTGCAGTAGGAGGAATAGTGCCCCATCATTGGTATCAGTGGGAGGAATAGTGCCCCGTCATTGGTGTCAGTGGGAGGAATAGTGCCCCATCATTGGTGTCAGTGGGAGGAATAGTGCCCCTTCATTGGTGTCAGTGGGAGGAATAGTGCCCCGTCATTGGTGTCGGTGGGAGGAATAGTGCCCCGTCATTGGTGTCGGTGGGAGGAATAGTGCCCCGTCATTGGTGTCGGTGGGAGGAATAGTGCCCCGTCATTGGTGTCGGTGGGAGGAATAGTGCCCCGTCATTGGTGTCGGTGGGAGGAATAGTGCCCCGTCATTGGTGTCGGTGGGAGGAATAGTGCCCCGTCATTGGTGTCAGTGGGAGGAATAGAGCCCCATCATTGGTGTCAGTGGGAGGAATAGAGCCCCATCATTGGTGTCAGTGGGAGGAATAGTGCCCCATCATTGGTGTCAGTGGGAGGAATAGTGCCCCATCATTGGTATCAGTGGGAGGAATAGTGCCCCATCATTGGTATCAGTGGGAGGAATAGTGCCCCATCATTGGTATCGGTGGGAGGAATAGTGCTCCATCATTGGTGTCGGTGGGAGGAATAGTGCTCCATCATTGGTGTCAGTGGGAGGAGGAATAGTGCTCCATCATTGGTATCAGTGGGAGGAGGAATAGTGCCCCATCATTGGTGTCAGTGGGGGGAGGAATAGTGCCCCATCATAGGTGTCAGTGGGGGGAGGAATAGTGCCCCATCATAGGTGTCAGTAGGGGGAATAGTGCCCCATCATTGGTATCAGTGGGGGGAGGAATAGTGCCCCATCATAGGTATCGGTGGGGGGAGGAATAGTGCCCCATCCTTGGTGTCAGTGGGGGGATGAATAGTGCCCCATCCTTGGTGTCAGTGGGGGGAGGAATAGTGCCCCATCCTTGGTGTCAGTGGGGGGAGGAATAGTGCCCCATCCTTGGTGTCATTTGGGGGAGGAATAGTGCCCCATCATTGGTATCGGTGGGAGGAATAGTGCTCCATCATTGGTGTCGGTGGGAGGAATAGTGCTCCATCATTGGTGTCAGTGGGAGGAGGAATAGTGCTCCATCATTGGTATCAGTGGGAGGAGGAATAGTGCCCCATCATTGGTGTCAGTGGGGGGAGGAATAGTGCCCCATCATAGGTGTCAGTGGGGGGAGGAATAGTGCCCCATCATAGGTGTCAGTAGGGGGAATAGTGCCCCATCATTGGTATCAGTGGGGGGAGGAATAGTGCCCCATCATAGGTGTCAGTAGGGGGAATAGTGCCCCATCATTGGTATCAGTGGGGGGAGGAATAGTGCCCCATCATAGGTGTCAGTAGGGGGAATAGTGCCCCATCATTGGTATCAGTGGGGGGAGGAATAGTGCCCCATCATAGGTGTCAGTGGGGGGAGGAATAGTGCCCCATCCTTGGTGTCAGTGGGGGGATGAATAGTGCCCCATCCTTGGTGTCAGTGGGGGGATGAATAGTGCCCCATCCTTGGTGTCAGTGGGGGGAGGAATAGTGCCCCATCCTTGGTGTCAGTGGGGGGAGGAATAGTGCCCCATCCTTGGTGTCATTTGGGGGAGGAATAGTGCCCCATCGTTGGTGTCATTTGGGGGAGGAATAGTGCCCCATCGTTGGTGTCAGTGGGAGGAATAGTGTCCCATCGTTGGTGTCAGTGGGAGGAATAGTGCCCCATTATTGGTATTAGTGACACCAATGATGGGGCACTATTCCCACTGACACCAATGATACTTACCTTGCAGACCCCTGCTCCAGCCTGGGCTCGCTCACTCCCTCCCTCTCCCATGGTACCGACACTTACCTGTCTGATGTCTTCCTTCTCCGGCCGCTCTCCTCCTCTTCACTCGCTCGATCTTCGCGGTGCCGCTCGGCTCCTCCTCTCCAAGCTCCACCTCCTTGCCAGTGATTGGCCGCCTGTGTGCCTCTCCTGAGCTACAGTGCCGGCGGCCAATCACAGGCGAGGATTGATCTCGAGGTGTGTCCAGATGACAGGGGCGGCATGTCATCCTGCCCACACCTGGAGACGGCGGTGGCGGCGGCGAGGAGCGGTGTCTCGGTTCCTAAGACCATCGGAAATATGTGTTTTCCGATGGTCTTAGGCGACCCCTGTGGAAGCGTCGTTCGACCCCCAAAGGGGTCGCGACCCCCAGGTTGAGAACCGCTGATATAGAGCATACACAGCTATAAAGCACAGTCAGAACACAGACATGAAAACATTACTTTCCGTTTCGCAGACAGGATTTAGTGTAAACCATAATACAAAGCAATGTGGTGTAGAACAATACATCAAGCTTACAATTCAAACCATTGAATACTTAGAGGAAAGTAGGTACAACACTGAATGTGTATGTAGTCTTGTCTTGAGCATCAGCAATGCATAATGATGAGGTGATATGAAGATTAGAGCCTGGAAGGCATTAGATGTTGTTAAAGTCATGGTTTACATGTTTATAGTTTAAGTGTATAATATAGATGAAGTGAGTCCTATCTGTGTGAGGGTGAATGCACTATTTGGTTGGTGAAGGATGACTGATAAGGTGGTATACCAGGTGTGAAAAAGGAGAGAGGTCAGAAAGAAGAACAGCAAGAAAAAGAGATGTAGGCTGAGATAATAGGTGGGAGAAAAACCAGATAAAAAAAAAATGTGGGGGGGGGGGGAATGGGTTGAGTGACAGTGGCGTATATAGGCAATAAAAAGTTAAACTGGGTCACCTCCCCGAGTATTAGCCGAGCCGGAAAAATAATATAGCTTAGTATATGTTACGTGCAAGATCAGACAGTGGGGTAACACATAGATCAGAAACCCCATAAAACATATCATGATATAGCACTACAGCCTATCTTTACGTGCGATAAAAACGTCTTCGATGAACCGGGTATTTCCCAAGGAAACTCAATCCGGGGATCTAGATTGATCATTTACTATTCTGTGATAAGTAGAAGTGGATTTGAAATGACTCCAACATGTCCATGTTTTCCGAAATCTCTCGGGATGTTCCTTAGCTATAGAGACAAAAAAATGTAATTTTTTTTATCGCAACTTACCTTTTTTCAGTAAACCAGTAATCACCACATCCCCCATGTAATGCAGATGAACAAAAGGAGATATGTTAAAAGGTCACGACTTAAGTGCCAAGTCAGAAGTTAATTGTCTGAATACAAATTTAATTGAATCAGGTTAATAAAATTGAAAATTAAATTATGGGTTTTATCATATTTATAAAGTATACAATACCTGCCTTTAGCTGGGTGTAAACCATGGCTGCCCCCTTCCACACAGTGGATTAGTGAGTATAGCCACACAGGGACAGAAAATGTGTTTTTTTCAGGATTACTGGGTGAAAATAAAAGGGAAATGAAACAAAAGAAACTAATGCTATAATTATATAACTATCATGTCTAAGCACTGTTAAGTTGCAATAAATTATATTTTTGTTTTGGGGTTTAGGGCTCATTTATACAGGCTTCCCGGGATGGGGCGTTAAAAGCAGGGAGTTGAGCCACTGTTTTACCACCCCCAGAACAATAGGGTGTCAGAGAATTACTGACTGGACCTGGCACCTAGTCAATGGAGGACAAAGGATCTCTGTGAAAGGCCAATTGTTGGGACCTTATTTCAAACTACTGACCCATTTAACACTATTCATTGTGTATCAATTGATAGCTTGATACAATTCACTGTGTCCAGGTGAAGTGCTGGAATACTGATGGAGTGTTTTTGCATTTTTATATCCCTATCACTGCTAGAAAAATGTAGCCTCTCTATTTGTCCTGGTGACCATTGTCACTGGAACAGAAAGTGATAGATAAATTAATATTTTACCGTTTTCTCGTCAGAAGGAGGTGAGGGAAAATATTCCAGTGGGAACACCTGTTATATCAATAATCTAACGGTATTTCCTCTCCTGTTAGAGAGACTTGCTCTTAATTTATTTTGTTGAAGAGAGGGGAAATCTCCTCAATGGGACACAACCAACAAAACAACAGAGGCCTTAACCATTCCCTCCTCTATACAAAACTAAGTAAAAAGTTTGGACTTTAGATATACTTTAATAGAAGTGTTTGCTTTACATTAGGACACTTAACCATCTTTAAATGTGTATGTCCAATCACATTATTTTTTTTTTTTTTTGCAGCTCAGTATCCTGAAATTTCCCAGCAACATTAGACGTAAGTGTCTCCCATCACCTGTGTAAAGGTTTTACTACTTCGCACTCCTATCTGGCAAAAGCATGGTGTAGGGGGGTGCTGCTGTAACAAACAGCTGGCTATCTGGAATCAACATAGAAGATAATATGAACCGCCAGCTCATCATGGATCCATCTAATTTAGTCCACATAAAAGTGGTGCATTATATGTATGAAGTAAAAAAAACCTTCTGTGTCCTGCTCCCCCCCCCCCCAATACTTACCTGAGTTCCCTTTCAACGCAGCTATGTGCATGGGAGCCTTGGCTGTCTGGGTCTTTCTCTCCTCATTGGCTGAGACAAAGCAGCAGGAGCCATTGACTCCCACTACTGCTAATCACAGCCAGTGAGGAGAGAGTGGGAAAAGCAGGTCCGAGCTCTATGTGTCTTATGGAGGGCCCCATAATAAATGCCTTGCTATTGGGGACACTGGTCAAGGGGGAGGAATCAGGAACGCTTGCAGGGAACCCGAGAAGAGGAGTCTAGAGCTACACTCATAGGAGCTGCAGGAATACAGTCCAGGTTTCCCCACAATCTTTGCCCCGCATCCAGGAGTCTAGAGCTACACTCATAGGAGCTGCAGGAATACTGTCCAGGTTTCCCCACAATCTTTGCCCCGCAGCCAGGAGTCAGAGCTACAGGAGCTGCAGGTATACTGTCCAGGTTTCCCCACAATCTTTGCCCCGTAGCCAGACACACACTGGCTCATTCACATGTTTCTCTAATGCCCAGTCTAGGTGTGTTGTTTTTGTGTTTTTTTGTTTTTTTTTTTGGAGAACTTGGATAGGTTTAGGGAATTAGGTGGAATACTCCAAAGGCAAAGCCTATGTACACTTGAGGACTTGGGTATTCTTCAGGACAAGCTATAATAAAGTCTATGCTTGTAGCAAACAGTAGACATCAGCTTTAAAGTGATAGTAATAGTTAACTGTAACTTCCTTTCTTAGAGCCACGAGAGCAGAGTTTCTGTAAGTATAAGATTATCTGGACAAAGCTCTTCAGGACACCTGCTGGTGTCCCCTTTAACTAGGTCCACAGCTGACTCTCTAGCTCCAGAGGGGTGGCAAAAGCACAAAGGTCCCCAAGACCTTTCAGAAGCGTCTATACTCACTCAAGGCTCAATAACAGCTGGTTGCCTCCTTCCACTTTCCAAGCGACACCTTACTCTGGTGATACCAGACCAGATCTTCAGTACACAGTTCCCCCCTAAGTCAGCTCTATTTAATTCTAGGTCCTCAGCATCTGGGCCCACAGGTCGCCCACCTAAGGCCTTATGATAGCAGACTTAGCAGCACTGCCTGGTAGGGCAGCGTACCCCCTCTAGGCTGGACTGATCCTATCCAGGAAAGGCTCCTGAGCTTGTGTGCTCACCAAATATATACAGTTACCCAGCATGCCATCAGAGCCTACCTTTCTGGAATAGGCCAGGGCTGTATCAATATTCATGTTGCCATCTACATAGCCCCATATCATCCAGAAACTTCTCAAGCTCTCTGGATGCAGAGGGAGCTATCAGACTAGCGTCAGCTAAACACACTTAGCACACGTGCGTAGCAGAATGAAGCTTCACTGAGCTGAGTGAGCAAACAAATTGTTTTACAAACAATCACAGCCACACTGACTACAGCATGGCAACTAAATTTACCTATCAAAACACATACTAAATATATCTAAATCTAAGCCTAGAACCTAGAACCTATCTAGGAGCGTGCTACAGTAGGATAGGGGCTGCTCTGGGCAAAACCACTGCACAGAGCAGGTAAGTATAATGTGTGTTATTTAAAAAAAAAAAATGAACCTTTAATATCACTTTAAAGATATTCCATCACAACTAGTGTAGGTGCAATGTTTCAGAGCTATGGTGTTGGGGTCCTGTGTGGCCCTGAAACATTGTATTGGCACTAATTGTGATGTGATTGGTTAATGTGTCTGGACTTTATGGTGTGAATCCATAGTGTGCTGGTGACATATATTCACCTCTAAAGATATGACACAAGCTTACGAATTTTGACCGCTTTTCCAGACTCTCCCAGACTCAGGTTCTAGTGAAAGGGCTGTGGTTTTCTATGTATGTACACTGGCGAGCAGACTTGTGGTAGCTCAAGATGAGTCTTTTTTTTCATGACATCCATCCACATACTATGAGTGTGACAGCGTGACAGACATATTGTTCTTGCTTCTCCATTCGTACCTTGATCGGAACAGGGTCTACAGTCAATGGCAGCTAACTGCCCCCCCCCCCCCCCATTCAGACCTGTGTTTTTAACATCTGGCAAAGGGAAGGCTTCTAGCATTGAGGTTGATATACTAAAGGCATATAGGCTGTGCATTTTGCAAGTGCAGTTGCTCCAGAGCTTAGTAAATGAGGTAAAGATTAATTTTGCAAAGAATACTCAATCACGTTAAAAGAAAATAAAAAACAGCATTTTTGTTTGCGCATGACTAAATGATGGAAGTCACCAGAACGTTTGCTCCTTTAGTAAGGTCTGGAGCAACTGCTCTTGCATAGTGCACAGCCTATTTGCCTTTAGTAAATCAACTCAATTACTTTGTTTGCAGCCCTCTACATTAGTTACATCTCTGCATTTATTTACATCTCATAGTCGCAAAAAAAGGGTCAGTGCTAGAAGACTTTCCTTTAACTGGCACTATGATCACATGTCCAAATAGGAAGCTGGTTGCTTTATGATGCCTGGAAGCTGCCACTGATCTTACTTTGGTTAAGATCTGAATGGGCCACCAATCCAACAAATATTTATTGTTTTGACTGAGGTAGGGGGGCAAATAACCCCCTTCCCCCTGCCTTTATCAGCTGAGTTCTCTACAACTACAGTACTATACAACTGCATGAATTTTTATTTTCATATTTTCAGCTTCAGTATATTTTGTCTTCTTCTTTTATTCAGGGAGACCACTACTATAAAGATGTTCTGATGTGTACATATACTGAATCTATATAAATTTACCAGCAGAATTTGTATTACTTGACTTATGATGAAAAGAGGAGTGGAGAACCTGCAGCTTATCTTCTAAGAAACCTGCGGGCAATATTTTATACAATTATTCGGGAAGATCTATATGACCTGATTGGATGTCAGAATTGAAACTAGAGGACATGGTCTTCATATCAGACACCCTCTTTGTCACAGCTATCAAGTAGCAAAGGCATATGCCCATGAAATCTTTTATTATTTGGCACACTAAAGTCCACATTACCGGCAAGTATTAGAATATGTGTGACAGTTCCCATGGAACTCTTTGGTAAAGCCCATTGGAAAGTCTCAAACCTTTTATACACTATATTGCCAAAAGTATTGGGACGTCTGCCTTTACATGCACATGAACTATAATTGCATCCCAGTCTTCGTCCATAGGGTTCAATATTGAGTTGGCCCACCCTTTGCAGCTAAAACAGTTTCTGGGAAGGCTGTCCACAAGGTTTAGGAGTGTGTCTATGGGAATGTTTGACCATTCTTCCAGAAGTGCATTTATGAGGTCAGGCACTGATGTCAGACGAGAAGGCCTGGCTCGCAGTCTCCTCTCTAATTCATCCCAAATGTGTTCTATCGGTTTGAGGTCTGGACTCTGTGCAGGCCAGTCAAATTCCTCCACCCAAAACTCACTCATCAATGTATTTATGGACCTTGCTTTGTGCACTGGTACAGTCATGTTGGAACAGGAAGGGACCATCCCCAAACTGTTCCCACAAAGTTGGGAGCATGAAATTGTCCAAAATGTCTTGATATGCTGAGGCCTGCAACTAAGGGGCCAAGCCCAACCCCTGAAAAACAACCCCACACCATAATCTCCCCTCCACCAAACTTTACACTTGGCACAATGCAGTCAGGCAAGTACACTTCTGGCAACCGCCAAACCCAGACACATCCATCAGATTGCCAGACAGAGAAGCGTGATTTGTCTCTCCAGAGAACACGTCTCCACTGCTTTAGAGTCCAGTGGCGGCGTGCTTTATACCACTGCATCCAACGCTTTGCATTGCACTTGGTGATGTAAGGCTTGGATGCAGCTGCTCGGCCATGGAAACCCATTCCATTAAGCTCTCTACATACTCTCTCTACATACTGTTGTTGTGCTAATCTGAATGCCACATGAAGTCTGGATGTATTTAGCTATTGACTCTGCAGACAATTGGTGACTTCTGTGCACTGTGCTCATGCACTGACCCCGCTCTGTCATTTTACGTGGCCTACCATTTTGTGGCTGAGTTACTGTTGTTCCCAGTTGGTTCCACTTTGTTATAATACCACTAACAGTTGACCGTGGAATATTTAGTAGCAAGGAAATTTCATGCTTGAATTTACTGAGCCCCTGAGAGTGACCCATTCTTTCACAAATGTTTGTAGAAGCAGTCTGCATGCTTAGGTGTTTGATTTTATACACCTGTGAATGGAGGTGATTGGAACACCTGAATCCAATGATTTGGAGGGATATCCCAATACTTTTGGCAATATAATGTATCTATGTGGTCCTCTACGCACACACGTCATGATTTGTGACTGATTTAGGCTTATAAATGCCTTAAAGCATATTTTTATTTTGGTGAAAATCCTGTCTACAGCCGCACCCTTCAGCACAAGTGTTCTTACAGGAGAATTCAGCTCTGAATATCCAGGTGGTTTATGCCATAATGGGCTAGTATCCATTGCATATTAGCACATTATGACAAACTTAGCAGTCCAACAATGCCCTCCAGAGCTTCCATCTTTTCCCAGTCGTCTTTCCATGTTCCATTTGTTTGGCCTCCTAATTGTCCAAGCTGCAATGATGTCACTCCCACACATGTGCATGGGAGTCATATCATTATGGCACACAGCAATGCTGTAAATGTACGACTGGCTTTTGTTGAAGGGACATACTGGAAAAGCAGTATATGATCAGTACTTGCAGCCGTTGGTTGCAAGTGCTGATCAGTGTATTCTGTCAGAATACAATAGCTGAGCGGGGACGATCACCACACTAACATTGCTTGTGTTGGTACGGTGATCTGTCTGGTATATATTTTTTTTTTTTTTTCGTTCAACCCCCAGTATGTACCTGGCTTAACTCTGGACATCCTGCTGTAACAGGAAATTGGAGGTAAGCCTTTAAAAATGGACTTTACATTGCAAAAAATCAACACTCAGACATATTACTGTGCAAACGATACAACCCTGAGCTGTTCTTTATGTGAATTACAGAGAATTAATTCCATTAATGGAGAATGTCAAGACTGGGACTACTGCAGTTTGCTAAGGTAGATGTGAGAGAATGTAGTTCTATAGGTTTATGTAGCGGAGACATTGGGGCAGTGTAGGGTGTTACATGCTTGGTTAGCATGGTATACAGCTAATTTGTATATGCTTCAAGTAAGCATCAGTCATTTAGAAGATTAGCCAGACTGTCAAAAAAAATACTTGCTATTCTCTTATTCCTCATTCAGATGTCACTCTCTTCTTTGAAAGCAACCAATCACTTATGTGAACTAAAGCAGCCTACCTTTTATTTACTATAGCAATCTGTGAAATTGGATGATGTACAAATTTTTATTCCACCATGCTGTCAATGGAGATTTATTGCTTCATTCTACTGGAAGCCAGGGCCAGAAAATCTAGGACTACTGTCCTCATCTTCATCAAAACACATGACAGTACCTCTGTCTAATGTCAGCAAAACCACATTCAACAACCCCACCACATACAACTCCACACTATCCCAAAGCCTCCATTGTATATGCTCATAAAACTGCTTCTCCACCCCCAGTCTTAGCAGACCACATTGTTCCAAGTCTGACCAGCATCCATGGTATATGTGCATCACATCAAAGCAAGATATCAAAGTCCATGTATGTGGTCAAAACCAATTGTATTACTTTCCACAAAAGAGATAAAATGCTAAACATATAGATCAGTCAAATTAGGTCAAATGTTATCAATACTAAATAATGGGCTTCAGAAAGGGTGGAACGTTATCACAAATATTGTTGGCTTTATACATATCTTGTTATTTGGGTTTCTGGTTGGTATAATAATGTTTTAGTTAGGATTTTTTAGAAATAAGTTTTTCATTCATCTGTAAAACGTAAATACAATGCAAATACATGAGAAGATGTATATAGAGTATATTACAAGGTATATTTAATACCCCCCTGTTCCCCAAAGGTGCCAATCCTTAACGGGGAGCGGGGGACTAGGCCTTAAAGCAGAACTTCCCCTTTTAGGTGGAGCTCCACTTTAATTTGCCTGCAGTTTCACGTAAACTTTATCTTTTATGGAGTTGTTGTAGATCCCAGTTTATAAATGTGTAGGAACAAGAAAGTAGTTTCCAATAGACTTTGCTCAATTTTTAAAAAATATTTTACAAAAGCTTACCAGTTTATAAGCAGGGATTTTCTATCTTTTTTATGTTTACTTGTATAAAAGCAGGCTGGACCTTTTTATGAACCTCCTCTGAATCATGAATAATAGATGTAAAGGGGAGCCTGCAGGTCTGACAAGGCCATCTCCTTATTCACTCTGCTGCTCTCATATGCACTGCAACACATCTGACTGGCTTCTATTGCAAGTTAAATTCCTGTACTTATAGTAGTTGCAATTAAAAAATGCCTTTTAATTGCGCTTAATGAACTAATAACTGCATTCATTATTTTTATATCTGTCTGGAGTTCAACTTTGGGTTTACATGTATGTTAATATAATTTGTATTGCTGTTTCGGTACTGTTCACAATAATTTTCCATCCATATTTATCCAACTTTGATCATTTTTTTCTGGCTTGCTTATTTCCAGTGCAGGCCACTGAATCACTGATACATTGTGATTTGGTAAGTTCCTATGGACCCCTTACCTATTTACCAGTCACTTCATTTCTAGCCAGTAATCTGCAACAAATAACAAAAGGAACAAATCCTAACAATCATTCATTCTTCCCTCATTGCACCACCAAAAATTGAGTTATTTTTATTAGTTTGTGAGCTGATCACAAAAACAATTGAGTACTACCTGTGATACTTTTTATTTTGTTTGCAGTGAGTTCACTAATACGGATACAATCACTTTGAGTTGGTCACTGAGATTTTTTCATTAAATCTCTAAAACTAGACAGTACTTTTTGTATGGACCTCAACATTGATTTTCATCATTTTTTTTTAAGTATTCTAGACACAGTAACGTGAATCTATGGTATTCCCATGTAGGGCAAAGCAACAAGTTCAGTTAGCTTCCCCCTTTTCCAACAGTTCATATTGAAGTGATTTTGCTCACGGAGTTGCTTAGCCAATATTTGCTTAATAACAAAAACTAAAAAAAAACTTTTATATATATATATATATATATATATATATACAGTCATGGCCAAAAATATTGCCACTCCTGAATTTGTATCAGATAATGCACCATTTCAGTCCGAAAATTGTTGCAATTACAAATGTTTAGGCATTCTCATGTTTATTTCTTTTGTTTGTATTGGTATGACACAAAAAAGTGGAGAAACAAAAAGCCAAATCTGATACATTCCACGCAAAACCCAAAAAATGGAGTGGACAAATTTATTGCCACCCTCAATTTAATATTTGGTAGTACACCCCTTGGAAAAAATAACTGAAATCAATCGCTTCCTGTAACCATCAATGAGTATTTTACACCTCTCTACTGGAATTTTGGACCACTCTTCTTTCGCCAACTGCTCCAGGTCTCTCAGATTGGAAGGGTTCTTTTACCCAACTGCTGTTTTGAGATCTTTCCACAGGTGCTCTATGGGATGGAGATCTGGACTCATTATTGGCCAGTTCAGTACTCTCCAGCGCTTTGTCTGAAACCACTTCTGGGTGCTTTTTGAAGTGTGTTTTGGGTCATTGTCCTGCTGTAAGATCCATGACCTCTGACGGAGACCCAACTTTCTGACACTGGGCCCTACATTGCACCCCAGG